TAAACAGAGACCTGAATCAACTGTAAACTATGTGCAAATTATGAACAACGCATGCAAACAGCGAATTATTTGCGACTACACACATGTGCAAACTGTTTACCTGTATGAACTACACAACCATGGGCAACCTTATGTGCAAACGCTTGTGTAATCTATGCCCTACGAACAGCGACCTATTGTCTTTCATTAATATTCACTGTGGTCACAAGGTAAAACACAAAAATGTAAAAATTCAAGTAAATCTTATTCTTTTCATCTAGTGAGACTTAAAATAATACAAAAAAAAAAAAAAAAATTATCACCTCTGGTGCTTTAATGGCTTATTGGAAGCTAGTAAAACGTAAATGTCACTTATCTTCTTTCAAATATGGTCAACTATTATATGTGTAAAATATTTAATGCTACTTGATAAATTGCATGAAGTTTATTTTATTATCTAACTTATTAATAATTATGTTAATTAATTCATGTTTAGTAATAATGCATGCTACTTGCGGATCTATTTTATTTTTAGGATGGTATAACAAAAGTGAATTTCAGGCATATATAATATTTTTAATTGAATTTATTCAGTTCCCATTTACTCATAAGTCCTTAATTTTTTTCATTAATGGTCCTTAAAAGTACTTAATTTCCGTGTGCAGAAATGTGTACGAACCCTGAAAAATGTTCTTGCTATTTTCTTCACATAACTGTTCAGAATGCTTCAAGTCAGCTTATGGACTTATATGCTTAATAGCTTTTAATTCAGTTATACTAGTTTGTTCAGAAACGTTTTGAATGTAAAACTACTCTCACATTGTGCCAAGCTGTGTGTGGAACTAAACTACACAAAATTTTTAAACTTATGGGGAGCACCTGCTGCTTATGTCTTTTAGATTCTGTTAACAGGATAATTGGACAATTTTATTTTATAGCATTTCTTTTCTAATGAAAATATTGATTTTATAATTTACAGTTGTAAACAGAAAATCCTGCACGTAACGTTTACTGTTTGCCTGTCTGTAATAAACAACCCCCTTTTTCCCCCTTTTATAAGAAGCTCCTCAAACATATATTCCGTGGGAAATTTGTTGATTTTTGCAGATTTAATCAGAAGATTTTTTAAACTTGCAGCTATTTAAGGCTGGTGCTGATGATGCATTCAATTTTTAATTTTGACTATCATTGACAGAAAAACTAGGAACATGTTCTTGATCTGGTAATACAAGACTAGAGCTTATGTTCTGAAAAAGAAATTTACAATTTTATAGATAAGTCAGTTTTGTTCCAATGTAAGGAAATTTTACAAAGCAAGTTGCGATTGCATCCTTAAGGAAATGTCTACCGACAATGAACCTCTGAAGCTTACAAAAATAATATATGTTTCTTTAGGGAGAAAGATTTAATTTTCTGTTCAGTACCTGGTTTGGTTGTTTGGAAATTTGTCTGTTAATGATATTAATTTGAAAATGAATTTGCTTCTTGTCAGTCCACTGATTTTGGATGAGCAAATTTTTGTTACACCTCAAATTGATGTATCATGGCACTTCATTTCAAGATTGTGAGATAAAATTAAGTTGTAAAAATTAAAAGGCCTTAGCAAAGTAATGCTGATTGTTTTATTAGTATCTGGCATCAATATACTACTTGAAAGCATTTTCAACATTGTGAGGTAGATTATAATTCAGTTTAGACTGAGTTTATTCATTGACACACTGAATTGTACATAGCGTGTTTTTTAAGTAAGGGCCATTTTGTCGTATACATTAATAGATGCCGCGTAGCAACAAGTGCTTGCGCCGTGTCCTGGCAACCCTTGGAAGCAACTGTGCTTGGTTGCAGCTGTGTAGGTAACTTGGATGGTCTATCCTGTGTCTTTTAAAATGTTCAAGATTATTGAATCGCCTGTCCTGTGTAAGGTACGGTCAGTGTACATTTTTTGTCGGCAAGAAACTTGTCTGCTGCAGACGTTCACCGGCAGATTTGTGAAGTTTACGGAGCTCTTGCCAAGAGTAAAGAAAAGCTGAGTAAGTGGGTCAGAGACTTCGAAACTGGCCGTGACAACGTCCATAATGAGTCTCACTCTGATCGCCCATCTGTGATCATAGACAATATGGTGGCTTCAGTTGAAGAGAAAATTCTTGAGAACGGATGCTTTACAATAAGCACTCTTTCAAACAGCAGCAGGAGGTTGCCAAACATTTTAGCATTTTTTATATTTCTTTAACTTTTTATAATAATTTTACAACTATCAAATATTTTTACAAAATGTATCTGAAAATAGATAAAGATAAGACAATACAGACAAAGAAAAAACGAAAACGTTTCAAGGCATTCTTTTTATAATAGACGTTCATTTTCCTTGCTTTGCACGTGACGTTGTCATTTCATCTATTACTTATTTAAAATTTCATGTTGTTCTATGTCTTAAAAATAGAAATTAAAGTTAATGGCCTAAAACTGCAATAGTATATTACAGAACAAGTGAAAAAATTGACAGTTTCACTCATGTGTGTGTCGGATTTGCGCAATATTTATGGAGTCCCACAAAATGTTTCTAAACATTATGCCATCCTGGGGGTCGCGAAAAAATCTCTGTGATAAAAAGGGGTTACGACTGAAAAAAGTTTAAAAAACCCTGCTGTAGAAGATTATTTTTGAAAGTTAAGATTTAAGAAACTGTGCTCCCATTGGGTTCCTAAACTCCTAACGGAGGACCACAAAAGCAAAAGATTTGAGTATTTGCTTAATTTTTTGACTCGTTATAACAAAGAGATGCCATGTTTAGTCAGATCGTAACTAGAGACGAAACAAGGTTTTCACATGTCATGCCCAAATGGAAGCAACAGAGAACGGAGTGGAGAGACACACATTTTCCTGTAAGAGTCAAGGCCAAACAAACTCTGTCTTAGTATAAGATAATGGCATCCATGTTTTGGGATAGGTATAGGTGTTTTGTTGGTCGACTTCATGTAACGTTGAACCACCATAAATGCAGTAATCTATGGCCAAACCTTGCTAAAGCTAAGAAGAGTGATAAAAACAAAAGACATGGCATGCTGACGGAGAGAATTTTGCCACTCCATGAGAATGCAATGCCACACACTGCAGCTCAGACCCAAGCTTTATTGGAGTCTTTTGACTGGTTTGTTTTGGACAACCTCCTGTGCAGATCAGACTTTGCACCGAGCAATTAGCATCTTTTCCGCTATCTCAAACATCATCTCGGCAGCAACCACTACAATGATAATGAAGATGGGAAAATGGCTGTGACCTCTTGGTTATCAGAGAAGGCGGCTAGTTTCTATGAAGAGGGTTGTTCAAAATCCATTTCTAAGGTATGATAAGTGGTTAAACAAACTTGGCAACTATGTTGAAGAATAGAGGAACATATGTAAAATTTGAAAATAAATTTGGTTTTTGAAACTTTTCCTTTGTTTGTTTTTTTATTTTCAAACGTCTCTTACTTAAAAAACACCCCTCGTATTTCTTTTGTGGAAAACCCATAACATTATTTGTTACCAGAATAAATTTAACCACAGAAAACTGGCTCAGCAAAATGTGCTACGAAGTTTACCTTATTAGGCCAGGGAAAGTAACATAGGAAAATATACCTTAATTTTTTTTTTTTTTTTTTTTTTTTTCTGTGCAAAATTGCAACTTATTTTATACAGTATAACATCCATCCAAGCTAGGAAATGCTCATAGATCAAAGTCATATGAGTATTAAACTATATGTCATTGTGAGAAAAATTAATCTTTACTAGAATGAACACAAAATTCTTTAACATAATTTTACAGCTGTATCTTGAAAAATTCTAAAACTAAAGTGTAATAAAATATTGATTATTTAGTGAAAAACAGTGACATTATAAATGCAGTCAAAAATGTTATTACTAGAAGATGTATGAAAAACCTTGTGTTTTACTTTATAAAATGATGGAATAAGTAATAAACTTTACTGAGAAACATAAAACTGGTAATTTATAAAATCTAAGTTGATTTCTATTGAAAAACCCAATTTGATAAAATGATAAATTAAATAAAGAATTGAGAAGTATTTAGCACAAAATTCTCTTCAGATACCTATTGTGTGATGAATTTTTTATATTTTATTGTAACTAAAATCACCATGCTTACTTGTAATGATGTTATATTCATCACAACTGTCATGTTTAATGTAACACAGTACACATCTTATTGTAGCACTTAAGAAATTTGTATGATAAATATTTTTATCTATCATAACATATGATCTATCATATAAATCTTATGTTATAAATCATATAACATATGATCTATCATATAAATCTTATGTTATAAATCATATAACATATGATCTATCATATAAATCTTATGTTATAAATCATATAAATCTTGTTATAAATCGTATAACATATGATTAATATTATTTTTAATTACTTTTTATTAGTTTTGATTTCTGATCTGAAAAATCATGACCTTAAGTAATATAGCACAGTTGAATACTGTGTTGAAAATAAGACAACTGAAGCATTTATTTGACTGAGGGGAAAAATAAGGAGTAAAATTTAATGTGCAATAAATTAAATGCTAATGTAATTAATGCTAGTAATAAAATGCATTAGATTATTTTGAGATTTATCTCAAGTATTAAAATTTGCCAAATATGGCTCCTGTCCAAGTCCTTTTGACTCATGTGACCTATTTTATCTAATGATTTGGTTTACTTATCTGAAGAATATCGTATCTCCATTCTTTTATAATTTTGGGTAATAGTAATGAGTGTATTTTATTTCGAAATACAATTATTAATCATTTACATGTGTATACATTGTATCAATATTACTGGTTGCATCTAAATTTTATATTGTATTGTACAAGTTAAGAGTTTAAACTTTCATCTCTCCAGGTCTTAACATTTTGGTGTAAAGTATACAAAATATATGTTTTAATTAAATTTTTTTTATTTAAGAGGTTTTGATATAATTTGAGAACTATATTTTAATAATTAAATATTTGGTTGTTGACATTTTTAGGATATAAGTTTACAGTATCAAATTTTTCCAGAAGAAGTTTTAGGCTCAGGACAGTTTGGGGTAGTTTATGGAGGTAATAGCATTATTTCATTTCTTGGAACAATTGTGCTATAGAACTGTATAGTTGTGCATTAATTATATACCCTTTTTTCTTTGTTTCTCATTCTTATGTCCTGCCATCAAAATTTTCTTTATAAAAGATTCGTGATACATTTTTTAAATACCTAATGCTTCTCTTTGCATTGTCTTTATCTTAGGCAAATGATTAGATTAAACTTAGATTAAACTTTTCCCCTTAGTTAGAAAGGTAATTATGAAATTATGATATGCATATATAAAGAAAATATACTTATTTTTTATAATTAGTCAGTGTTATAAAATTAACATTCTTCACTGAAAAAAAAAAAAGAAAATGAAGAATATTAAAATAAATAAAAAGTCATGTAGAAATAAAAAAAGCAAAAATACTTTTCAGAAATCAAATATGCCAAATGGTAACAAAATCAATAGTTATAATTATATTGAAATACATTAACTGATTAAATAAGTACTGTCTCATAAAAGTGACCAGTAAAGAAATTAAAAGCACAAGTTTTTTCAAGGTAGTAGCAGTGTAGAAGAGTCATCAAATCCAAGTAAATTACATTTCTGATTATGGGAAAAGATGAAAACTTTAAATAATGAGAATTATAGGGTTTAAAATAAAATATAGAACTATTGAAATAGCTCATTTTAATGATTACTTTCAACAACAGTTTTTTTCTAATTTGTTGCAGCAATAGTTTCTGTTCCCCCCCCAACAACAACAGTTTGTTTCCTAATTGTTTAGCTTATTTATTTTAATCAAATTTAATCTATCTAATGAGAGTTTTTACATATTGCATTGTTTTGGGTGCTGTTTTACATATTTGGTTTTATGCAAATAATTTTTATTTAGTTCTGCATCATGATTTTGAAATGATTATTTATTTAGCCTTCACTAAGGCTTTGTTTTCATTTAGAGAATGAAAATTAATTATATAATTATGAGCAGTTTTACATAATTACTATTTGCAGCAGTAGTTTTTTTTAATAGAGTTTTTCTGTTACTTATTTTTTATAACAAAATTGAGTTTTTACATTGATTTTTGTAGCAATTATACATTTTTGGTTTTATGCAAATAGTTTTTATGTATGCATGCTTCCTTATTTTTAAGTGTTTATTTACCTAATATTCTGTTGCACTTTTTTTTATCCAGAGAATTGTGAAAATTAAATATTCAATTATGTTCAATTTTGCATTTTGAGTCCTATGTATGAACAGTTTTTAGGGTTAAAATGATTCTTATTAATATAATTATGTCATTTTTTAAATGTTATGTATAGATATATTCATGTCTATATGCATGTGTTTGTTTTACTGCAGGTGTTCATCGGACTAGTGGTCGAGCAGTAGCAATCAAGGTTATAGAAAAAGTACGCTTTCCAACAAAGCAAGAGGCTCAATTAAAAAACGAAGTCTCCATATTGCAAAATATTCATCATCCTGGTGTTGTAAATTTAGAAAAAATGTTTGAAACACCTGAGAGGGTTTGTTGAAATATTTCTGTTGAATATATATATTTTTTTAATACTTTGTTAAAACTTAGGAGTTAAAAGAGTATGCGAAGTATAGAAATGACTCTTTAATTAGCATTCTTTAACAATATTTAAAATGTGTTGTCTTTTCCTTAAATGGTAAATATGTATAATCTAGCTCAACTACTTTTGTTTGTCTTGCACAAATATTTAAAAATTAATTTCATTTCATTAAGAAATTTGTTTTTTTAATATTTGCCTTTACTTTTATTGTAAAAAGTTTGCTTCACTTAAAAGCGCATATTTTTTGGCAAATTGGGAGAGGAGTAAAATAAAAATGTTAAAACATATTATATATGTGTTCAAATTTAAAGCAGTTTGCAGCAACAATGATTTATAAGTTTTCTTTCTATGAGAAGAGGCAAAATGTAAGGAAACTTTACTATGCCTATTTTGCTGTGAATCTTCTTTTTTTAATAATCAGTGTTGCAGAAATAGTTTTAGGTACTTGAAATAGTTCTAGGTAACTGTATATTAATTTTATTTTAAACATAGGAAGTTTAGCAAATATAATATACTCCAGTTGTTCTCAACTTTTGACTAACGCCTACTATCTAAACAAAAACTGAAAAACTTTAGTACCACCACTACAATTTACAATGATTATTTTTCAGTATCTTAATAGAAATACTAAAAAAATATATTTTGCCATTTTCACAACAAATTGGCTATTTGTATTAAATAGGCACACATAAAGAAATATTAGATTACAAATTGGTTACCATTTTAATTATCAAAATTTAAGTTATAATACTTAAGTGTGAAATTTGGACCTTTTTAAAAGAGATAAATTTCTTTGTGTCTGGTCTTATTTTGCTTAGTTTTAACCATAAATTAGGATTCAATTAGATTTTGTTCTGTGTTTATTTTTTAAATATAACATGAAGAAAATCTTTGTTCACACAAATAGGTTGTGCAAAAAAAGGCTATAAAATTTAATAGTTTTATTTGAAATGCCTTTAAATTCATTTTTTCGGTTTAACCAAAAGTTAACAAGTGTGTTATTTTTTAAATCTTGAGTTAGAGTTTGATAACGTGAAATTTCTATTAATTGTTCTTTTTTTCAGGAGATAAAATTTTAGATACACTTGGTTAAAATGAATTTCTAATTCAGTTTTCTCATTCATAATTGGAAAAAAATACATGTTGAAATTATTTATCAATGAAAAACAATGATTTTTAATTTAGGATGCTAATTATTTTGTTTTTGAATTATCTTCAGTTGGAAAACTCTCTAAAAGTAATAAAATGCTTAAAATATTATTATCCAATTCTCTGATTATTAGCTCAAGTTCTTTTTATCATTGCATTTATTTTATCATTGAGGGTAAACAAATTTACACTTTGCCCTTGTAATTCTAAATTTAATTCATTTAACTTCCGAAAAGTATCAGTTGAATTTGCTAAATGGGCCAACCAAAATTCACTAAATAAACAATTTTGAAATTGAAATTTTGAATCTTAGAAGAAAATTTGAATTACTAATTGAAGTTGTAAAAGACAATTTACAAGCTTTGGCTCTGGATAATTAATTACCTTACTTTGGAATGTAACAAAAGCATTTCATGTTCACTGCCCATCTTTTGGCATAAAATCGTTAATACTTTTTACTTGCTAAAAGGTCTTTTTTTTTTTTTTTTTTAAATTTAACAATTTTCACAGCTTGATTCAAAATAATTTTCAGGTTTTATTTATTGTTTTGGCTACTAAAGCTTCATGATGAGTGGAGCAGTAAGTAAATTTAGTTGCAATTGCATCTTTCTTTATTTGAGAAATAACAAGGAAATATTTTTCTGTTAAAGCCCGAGCTCCGTGACTCCATCGAGCAATGCACTTATTCCAAGGAATACAATTTTAAGAGATAAAATTGTCAATTACTTTGAAAATTTCATTTGCAGTTGCTCTATCATGAAGAGATTCACAAAATAAATATTCTTCGGTGATTCATTTATCTTCTTTGAAACATATGGAAACTAATAATTAAATAAAGTTATTTATTATATTATTATACCTTATATATTATTTTATAAAGTTCATTATACTTTTATCCAGTTGCAGTGCGAAATATTCACTGTGTTCTATTTTTGAATTAGTGTCTATTATGAAATTTACCATTTCATGAATTCGTCAGCTTACTATACATTTGATAATGAAATATTTTAAAATTCATTAGTGGCATTTTTGCTGAATAGTGTTAAAACAATATCTTTAGCTTCTGGTAATGTAAGGTTTTTCTCTAATAGTGTGAACCTGCCCAGTCTTAACAATTTGTAGCTTACTAAGGTCACTAGCTTCCAAAGCTTTTTCACTTGAAGTAACAAAACCTTTCATTACTTGTTTACTATTTTGAACTCCAATAAGTTCCTTTTAAAATAGGCTTCAGGTTTATACTTTAAATTGGCATGCTTAGATTCAAGATGTCTATTAAGAAACGATGGTTTCATACTTTGATTGGCTAATAGTTCATCGCAAACAACACACTGAGGTTGAGGGTCCATTTCATCTCCATTCCAAGTAAACCCAAATGATAAATAAATTTCACTGGATTTTCTATAAGGAATTTTGCTTTCCTTTTCAATATTCTTAGTGCTAATATATTGTCCTGGATCCATCACCTATGAATCAACTTTTTTCCGCTTAGTCAATCCTAGCCATTTTTCTATTTTGAAAATCTAGGTTTCTTTTATTATTTTTTCACAAATATTTAAATGCACAATATATTACGAGTTCTTCAAAAACAGACCACGATATTCTTAAATCATGTAGAAAAGTAAGGAATACAAAGCAACAAGGAGACAAAATACTAGTGGTTAAAGACAGCAAATCACCGTCAAAAATTATTCTAATTGAAAATAGAGCAATAAGAGCTTGAAAATGGTGGCGAGATATAATGTAGATATGCTAATATATAGATCAACTCTTTAAGAATTAATGAGATGCTATTATCTTTTTATGAGAGTTTATTTTTATTTCCTATTTCATACAATATCCATTTCTATTACTCCTTTTAAAAAACATCATTTATGACAAATTTTGTTATGTCTATGGCTCAAAGAATATTTGTGAAAATAAAAACGGATTATTATAAGTCTATGATCGGCTATGGACCTCGAACAAAACGATGATCGCATAAATTTGCGTGTGTTAGAGAAAGAAACTTGAACAGGATGTTGGGGTATTTTATTTTTTAATTTGATAGTTAAAAATACTTTGTTTCTTTGCATACCACCTTTTTTCGCTTGCACACCACCGATTGAAAATCGTTGGTCTAGTGCAGGGCTCCTTAAATTTTTTTTTAGTCGCAACCCCTTTCTATTACTGAGATTTTTTTCATGACCTCAGGACCCCATAATATTTATGAAAATTTTGTGGGACCCCATAAGCATTGTGCAAACCCAGCACACATGTGAGTGAAACTGTTGATTTTTTCACTTGTACTGTAATATAGTATTGCAGTGTTAGGTTATTAACTTTAATTTCTAATTTTAAGACATAGAACAATGGGAAAATTTTAAATAAGTAACAGATGAAATGACAGTGTCATGTGGACAGCAAGTAAAATTAACATTTATATTATAAAAAGAATCCATCGGAAACATTTTAATTTTTTCTTCGTCTGTATTGTCTTATCTTTCTCTATTTTCAGATACATTGTGTAAAAATATTTTGTAATTGTAAAATTATAATAAATTAAAGAAATATCAAAACTGCTAAAATCTTTGGCGACCCCCTGCTGCAGGTTCCGCTGACCCCCATCGGGTTACGACCCAAAGTTTTAAGAAACTCTAGTGTATTTAAAATCATTAGTATTTCAGATGAAAACTTCAGCTGTTTCAAAAAAATAATTTGTTGATCTGTGCTTTACTGAAGAGTATTACAATTCAGGATAAGGAGGAGTGGCCTAATTATTGAAGATAATGACATTGTATATTTAAAGCAGATTTCTCCAAGCAGATTAAGCTCGAATGGGATAAAACTATGGCATAGTTATTAAGTATGTGGGAGAAAAATTTTTTAGCGTACCCATGCTGGAAACAGAATGTTTCAACTTCTATCAAATAACTAAAAAAAGAAAATTATAATAAATGAAAAAATGACACAATACAGTGGTTTTCAACCTTTTTTCCCCTGTGTGCCCCTTTCACTATTGCTAGATGATCATATTTCTCTGTTATCCAAAACTTGAAAAATACATATAGATGTATTTAAATTAAGATTTTTAAGTGCGTTTGAAAAACTAAAAAAAGGAAAAGTATAGAAATGTAATTGCCAAAAGTTGAAGTAAAGTAGTCTTTTATAAAATAAAATTAAAATACTTAGCAGATAAATTAAAGGCTGACGGCAAACCCTCCTGAAACTGTAAAATGCACCCCCAGAGGGAACCCCCCCCCCCCGAGTTCAGAAAGTCTAATATAATAGATATGTAAAATGACTTGCGTATTATTTTGTAAACTGTCTAACATAGGAAGATTTTAAATATTCTGTAAGTTTAAAATGAATTATTTTTAGTTTTAATTATAAATACAATAATTAGTGAAAACCGTATGGTGTGTAATAATTATTCAGATATAATAATTTATATCTGTTAGAATAATAGGAAGTATTCGAATAGTCAAATGCCTTAAGAGTTTGTAGAGTCATTAAGATTGTTTTGATGTTGAAGAAGAGAAAAATGAGCAATGCTGTCACCGGGACTCGATCTGTGGACCTCTCGAATATGCACCAATTGTGTTACCATTACACCATGAAGGCATGCAGAAAGATGGGAGAAAATACTTTATAAAAACACCCCCTTTTAAAAAGCGACTGGGGATTAGGGGACACAGTCGCCAAATCCTGGTGGTGAAGAATTATCATCCACCACCTTTTTTTAGTTCAGGTGCCACTGTAGAGTCATTAGGATTTTTTTTATGCAGGAGAAGAGAAAAATGAGCAGTGCCTTCAGTGGGACT